AGCACTATCTAAGGGTGTAATTATTTATTTCATTATTTCGATACGAAAATTTGCATTTTTATATGTCTATTGATTTTTGTTTAAATAACCATGTAGGTTATAATTGTATGCTATTTCCGAAGTATAAAATTGTTCGATGGGTTTGAGAGGTTGAAAAACAAAGGGCTATCTACCAGGGAAACATGGCACCACCATTTCAATATCCACATAAGTTAAAGTGCAATTTACAATCTCTGTTCATGCTTCAGGACCCCTGAATTTTTAGTTGTATACCCGATATTTAGTTCTGTCAATACAAATTGCAATTGTCGAATAATTTGTTCATCTTGCACCGGAATTCCTTTTATCAATTAGACTATTTTACTATTTTCTTCAATCATTCCCTTCGTTGCTTAATCGATAAATCCATGCCTAGTCTGAGATCACGAGAGAACCATACCCCCAGAAATTAAACAGTTAAAGTCGAAGAACTTAAGTCTATATAAAATTTCAGACAACAAGCAAATACTTCCGACATAGAATTCAAATTTTAGAACCTTGCAACTGTACAATCACCATGCTTCATGGTCATGTGCTCACCTCGAATTGACTTTTCACTGGCCATAGCTAGTCAAAGATTTAACATCACTATATGGGGGCGTATTTAGGGGAGCTAGGCTGTGCACATGTAAATTTTCCTTTAATTTTTTTTTATTGTAAAAAAGTTATGTGATTTTTTTTTTTTTTTATATACACATATTAGCCTAGCTCAAAAAAATTTTAATTGTCGCTATGTCACTGTTACCATTAATGATGCACGATTGCAACCAAGAGATATGGCAACCTACTATGATACCATTGCACAAATTGGAAGAAAAAAAAATGTCAAATTGTTCTCCGAACCTACCCTTGAAAACAAGCGTATTCAAGAGAAAAGGAAGGTTACGGACCTACGTTATAGTTTTCAAGCCAAGTAATTTTATTTATTTTTATTCTTAATTGTAATATTTTAGTATTTGATTATTTAATTTTGAAAGAGTCAAAGTAATTATAAGAGTCATGGACTCATGGAGCACATTACATATTTTGTGTACCCAGTTTTTAGAATTAGTATGGTGGGAAGAAATTAATTAGCATTTTATGCACTAAATGTTTGAGTTTCTTTTGAAAACTTAGTTTGAAAGTCAAAAGGCTCGCTATCAAGCCTTTTATAATTATTTATTTTATTACTACGGTACGAACAATCATCCAATTTTCTAATTGTTGCATAATATTGAAACATAGGGTCTGTTTGGGAACGATTTTTTCTTTCAAAAAATTGATTTTTTGGCCGTTATTTCATTATTCCAGCCGTCACATTTGACTTCTTCTTTCACATGTGGATCACACTTTTCTCCTAACGATTAAAAAATCAATTCTCAAAATTATTTCCAAACAGGCTCATATACTCATGTATCGAAACATAATAAATAACTTAAGACCTAAAATAACTGAAAAAACATTCAACATAAAATCAAGCAATAAAGATAACATGACTTGGAATAATCCCCTCATCCAGGGGCACATGGGCCTTGGATTTAAAGCAGGGTTGGTCCTGTAATTGTCAGTGCCCGATGCGAAGTTCAGAAATTAGGCTCCTAAAATCAACGTAAATGTAAAATTAAACGGTGTGTTATGTAACATATTGCTAACTTAAAACTCAACATTAAAATAACAAATAAATATCTCAATAATCTCACAATTAATGAAAAAATTATTTTCCTTTTCCTTCTTTTAATGTCCCCCCCCCCCCCCCCCCCCCAAAAAAAAAAAAAAGCTTTGGGCCAAAATAGGCCCCCTCTGGTTTTTGGGCATGTGTGCCTAGGACCGGCCTTGATTTCAAGTAGGTGCCCCCTATTGGAGGGTGTTGATGGGGCCCATGTGGCCCTGGATGAGAGGATTATTCCAATTCAAGGCCGTGAAGAACCTAAGCACGTGTTTATTTGGACATTTTCCTCAAATCGATATATCGCTCTATCCGCACTGAGCATTACCCCCAAAAAAATGCTTGGTCTGATAACGTTGCAGATTATAAACTCAAGAAGCGTGTGTTCACTTAACGCAAAAAGCAAAAGATTATAGACTCAAGAAGCATGCAAATGAAGTTGGAACATGCAATATTCGTGAGCAAAAACTGAGGTTTCAATTTCTTTTAAAATTGGAGCATCCACCAATAAATCAACCTGGTTCTTGAACTAACCTCAATCAAAGCTTCTTGAGTTCAGAAATGGAGATCCCATTACAAGACTCCTATTATTCATTCCTTCTCGCCGATTTTCATCTCTTGGCAGCAACGGCATTGCTCTTGATTGTCTACTTCTTTTCTTGTAGACCCACTTGCATTTATCTCATAGATTTCTCTTGTTATAGACCACCAGACGACTTGCGAGTCTCAACTTCCAATTTCATCGAACACTTCGAAATCTGTGGCCTTCATGAGAGATCTGCGATAGATTTCTCGAATAAAGTGGCTGAAAGATCGGGCATTGGATGTGAGGCCGGCTTTCCACTTTCTCTGCATCAAATTCCACCGGATAATTCTCTCAACCCAAGTCGAGAAGAAACAGAAACCATTCTTTTCACGGCTGTGAAGGATCTCTTCAGCAAACACAATATAAATCCCAAAAACATTGACATACTTGTATCCAATTGTAGTATTTTCTGCCCTACACCATCCATTACAGCCAGGATCATAAACAAATTTGGATTTAGAAGTAATGTGAAGAGCATTAGCCTCAGCGGAATGGGGTGCAGTGCAGGACTCGTGGCTATTAGTTTAGTTAAAGACCTCCTGAAAGTCCACCGGAACTCATTGGCTTTGGTTCTTAGCATGGAAGCAGTGACTCCAAATGGTTATAAAGGTAAAATGAAGTCCATGCTTCTTGCCAACGCGCTATTTCGAATGGGAGGAGTCGCTATCTTGTTGTCCAATAAGAAAAGCGACAAAAGAAGAGCGAAATACAAACTCCAACATCTGTTAAGAACACACATGGGATCAGATGATCAATCTTACCAGTCTGTTTTCCAGGAAAATGATGAATCCGGGTACGTGGGAGTTTCACTATCAAGAGAACTTCTACATGTGGCAGGAAATGCTTTGAAAACAAATTTAACAGAGTTGGGTCCATACGTTTTACCATACTCCGAACAGATCCACTACGGACTCTCAGTAATTCATAGGAAGTTTTCAACTTCAGCAAGGAAAAAGGAGATATATGTACCTAACTTCAAGAAGGCATTTGACCATTTCTGTATACATGCTGGAGGAAGGGCAGTAATCGACGCTATTGAGCAAAAGCTAAGGCTGACTAAAGAAGACGGAGAAGCCTCGAGGATGACACTTTATCGCTTTGGTAACACTTCATCGTCTTCTGTTTGGTACGAGCTAAGCTACCTAGAGGCAAAAGGCAGGGTCAAAAGAGGAAATAGGGTCTGGCAAATTGGTTTTGGGAGTGGATTTAAATGTAACAGTGCAATTTGGGAATGTGTTTCAGATTTAAATCCCAAGATAAGAAATGCATGGTCAGATAGAATACACAAGTATCCCGTGGACATCCCAGATGTTGCTGATCATTGACCCAAGTTATCATTGTTAGTCAACATATAGTTTTCTTAATATGAATTTCTTTCTCCACTCCAGGCATCTTAAATGAGCAATTATTCACAATTGCACAGGAAAAAAATAAAAAAATAAATAAATATAGGATGCAAGTCAAGTCATCCTCAGGGCAAAAGTCAATTGTTGATAGAAAACATGTAAACATTTTTCAGTTTTAAGTATAAGACATTTTTCAGTAGAAATATACCGAGTAGTGGCAAGTCTTAAGTATACCTGAATTATGTGTTCAGATTCATTTTGTCTTCCCCTTGCGAGGTTCATTTGTTTTCAACACCATATATACATTGCCTGGAAAATAATTCCATGATAAGTTAGCGACCAAACAAGTGGGAATTTTTGAGAATCGGACTTCTCGTAGATGAATCAATAGCATAGCCTTGACCAGGCAGCCATTTTAGAAAGTGAAAAGGCAATGCCTTCTTATCAGGTTGCTCAATAGTCAATATAACGAGTTGAAACTCGTTTCCAGAAAACGAGGTAACAACCTCCATTACTGTGTCTGTGTTCCGAGAAGCTTGTGAATTTGAGTTGAAGAACAGCGAAAGAAGATATATCTAAGGAGCCAGAAAAGCAGGTTTGGGGCAGAATCCAGCCACAATAGACCCGTAAAGTTAGGTTGGACCTGGATCCAATTGTCAATTCCAAGTCCACGTAATTGGATCAGGCCTATCGACATGCTAATCTGACTTTCATGGAGTATGACCTGCCACACAGCCACAATTTTAGATGGGAAAATAAGAGATTATGTATGGAATATTTCAAAATTAATACAAGTTTTAAACTTCAAAAATCAGATTTTTATTAAAATTTATTTATAATTTAATTAATTAATTATATTTAGATCACATATCTATACAATTTGGTCACAAATTAACAATTAATTAGTCACTTCTTATTTTTTGATCACAAATCAAAAATTTTATGTCACAAATTATTTTACGATCACAATTCAAAAATTTTGTAGATTATAATTTGTTCATTGGTCACAAATCAAAAAATTAATTAGTCACGGATTAATTTTTAGTTGCAACTTATCGAATTATTGGTCACAACTTATTTTTCACAAATAAAAAATTTTATAGGTTGCATAGTATTTTTCACAAATAAAAAAATTTATAGGTCAAATATCACAAATATTATAAGTCAAAACTTATTAGACAGTCACAAATTATTAATTTTGTAAGTCACACATTATTTTTTGGTCACAATTTATCTTTTTCATTGATCACATATTGTTTATTGGTCACAGATTAACCAATTCACTAGTCACAATCAATCAAATAATCTGTGACCATCACTAACACTTACGACTACCACTTCTACGCTGCCTGTAACAACACCATTACCACCGTAACCGTCAAAACTACCACCACATTGGTCACAATTTTTAGTCAACCAATAAAATTGTCACATACACCCACACCCCATCCCACCACGCCAAAGCACTGCACCACCACCAACCACCAGTGACGCTGCCCACCACCACCATCGTTTACATCACCATTATTACAACACCAATAGCACCCACGCCCCATCCCACCACTCCAAAGTACCGCACCACCGCCAACACCAGATCTTCTCACTAATGCCATTCTAACACATAAACCACCCGCCACAAGAACCACCATCGCTAAGTAGATCGAATAAAAAACAAAAAATTACAGATTCGGGCACCCACCATCGCAAGATCTACCAACAAAACTGCCAACTCCCCACAATCACCATCGCCTCACTGCCGTCGCCACTTTCAAAAAAGTTGGAGCCTCCATTCTCTCTCTCTCTACTTTATCTCAACTAACTATCGTGAAATAAAATTCCATTGTGAAATAAATTGACAACGGTGCATAAATCATTGCAATCACGATTGGCGAGATCTGTTATATCTCGTCGTTGCACGTCGTAAGACTCAATCTATACCGTCGCTACATGCGGCGATCTCACAGCCATGTAGTGGCAAAGCCCCGCAGCGGGATCTTTGACACCCCTACTTCGCCACTACTGTGTCACGGCTTCGTGCAGCTCCCCGCTACGCAACGGAGATGGTTTTGATGTTTTGGGGGGAGAAAATGGTGGCTGTGAGATGTTTGCGCGTCTATGTCTTGTAGAGAGTGGAGAGGGATACGAGAGACGAGATGAGGAGAGAGAAGATGGTTTTAGGGTTTGGGATAAAAAAATATATATTTAATATTTGTACATGATATCTCTGATTTTTGAAAAGTCAAACTTTTCGTCTGATTTAAAAATACGGGATTTTAATTCTAGGGTTTTGTGTAATTACCGCATTTTAGATCTGGGTAAGTTTGATCTGGAGTTACGCTGGACGGACTGGACAACGTAGGCCTTGTCCATCCAGGACGCGTCCAATTAATTGTTGCCCTGTTTGGATAGGGCTCTGTCCAAATATCTTTATCTTTTGACAAGACAGCGTGAGCTATCTTATTTTTCTCTATATTTAGTTTTTACTTATATCTATTTAATTTTTTTGAAAAAAATACAATATTACTCTTCATTAAGTGCTTGTTTGGAAGCATGTATACAAAATGTTTAGATAAAAAGTATGAATAATATT